GAGTTCATTCCAATCATCAATTTTGCATAATTAGGATTTTCTTTCCAAATTAGGGTTTCGTTTAGGTAAAAATTTCACTTTGGGTAATTTAGTTTCAGTTAAGGCTACGATAGATAAGATTGAACTAATCAATCTCTGTGGGACAATATTCAGACTCAATTAATCCACTTTATTACTTGTTAACGAACCGTACATTTGTGGTGATTTAAATCGAAAGAAAATATTTCATGAACAGAAATCACGAACAATCTTCTAGTTCCTGTTAATTCATTCATGAATGCGGAAAGCTGTGCATCAAAGAGTCGTCGATTCCGCGGAATGCCAAGAATTTGGACAAATAATTCAGAACACTCAATTTTCATTTCATTATCTTTTTTTCAAAAGACCAAGGTGGTCTTTTTTGGGAATAAAATAGAATAATTTTTTTTTTATGACCATGGGTATTTGAGTCAGTTTACACACACCTCAACTAATTCCATGGAGTCCTAAAGTTTACTGCCGGATACTCACCTCAGTAGCTCGAAGGGGAGTCAAACTGATGACTATAGGGAAACAAACCCAAGGTCTGACCACTGAGCTACCCCTCAGGGTTTAAAATAAAATAACTTTCTATTTGGAAATTTCAATATACCACAATAGAATCATATATTATAATAATAAAAAATGCCATAAGCAAATCTTAGTCAAAGGAAACAATCCAAAATCATCATAAAACAATAAAATCTTAAAAATACCATAATAGAGAAATTCCATAAGTGGATTGCATTACCTGTTGAGAAGTAGATGGCAATATAATCTTATGGAATAAAATGACCACATTTATTCATCAATTATTGAAAATTTATATTATCAACTATAAAGTATGCCTTTTGCATTTATGTGCATAATCTAATATAACTTAGAAAACTTCAATATTTGCTCAGGAATAAATAATAATGAGTCGCAACCTAACAAGAAACCCATGGGTTATGATATTTGGAGTCTCCAAAAATGGAGAAGTATCCATGTCCACAAGACATGTCACGAATACTGACATGGGATATGGATTGGATTTTGGTTTTGCACTCGGACACGATAACAAAAGAAGAAGATGGCGGATGGTGGAGTATTGCTTCTGGCTTGCATTTGTGGTAGTAGCAAAGCCGTTTATTTTGGGTCGTGATAGTAATATACGAAAAATTATGGAAGACAGGAACACGATCGCAAAATTTGTAGAATTACCCAAAAAGAAGGGGAAGAAGATGGGTTTTGGAGAATGTGTTAGATGGGCTTTTGTGAAGCCCAAAGAATATAATTAATGAAATTAGGAAATTAAATGGTTTAAAAGTAAACAAATTGATACATACTATTACAAGTAAATGGTAGCCTCTCCCAAGTTCTATTATTTATTATGAGCTATGATGCTCATACTCGAGTACAGGTATCACATATGGATACGTATTTAAATGTCAAATCTTTTATTTTCTAAAATATATTATACGAGGACATGGCTAAAAAAATTCCAAATTTTGGACATGGGTGTGTAGGTACATCTTTCAAATTTCAATTTTTTTTATTAACCCAAGATGTAATTTTAATTAGACCAAAATTAACTGTTCACAAAGAAAGATGTGGGTATTGAACAAGGGGCTAAGTAGAATTTTGGTGTTTAATTTTCAATTATGAGAATTTCATTACTAAATGTTATATAAAATAGAAAATGAGAGACTTGATTGCAATTTGAATTCAGTGGACCACTAAATTGCACTTTATGGAATCCATTTTAATTTTATATAGAGAAAACCTTAAACCATCGATACAAAGAAGGAAAGAGGGAAAAAAAGAAGAAAAGGGAAAGAAAAAAGAAAGAAGTGAAAAACCAGTGCCATTGCCAACCTCCACCCTCTCGACAGCGGCGTTATGCTTACAAAGAGCAGAAATGGGAAGAAAAAAGAAGAAAAAGAGCAAAGTGCCCGGTTGAAACTTGGAGAATCCGACATATAATCCATACCCACATGACACAAGTACTTTGTCCATTTCGAAGAGTCCGGGCATAAGATATTGTGAGTGGAGCTATTTATTATTTTATTTGAAATAAGATTAGTTGAATATTTAACTCTAAATTTTCATTTGATGCGATAGTTTAAGTTACAGTTATCCATTTTGGGTGATTTAAATCAGTTAGAAAGCTTGCAAGGCATTCATGATAAATATATTACGGACGAAGTATAAATATTGAAAGCCATCTTAGCATGAATTACTGAACGCTCCATTCTAAATTGTTTAATACGTAAAATGTACACAAGTAACCTATATTTTATATATATATAAAAGAATGTGTAAATATATTTTAATATATTGAAATTCATTTTATATAAGATGGGATTTGTCTTTACATAAAATAAATATATTAGTTTCTACATAAACTATTATTTCACATCATCTCTATGTGACACTTTGATTGAAAAGTCACATAGCATGTCACTTCTTAATGTAAAAAATTTAACACAACAAAATTACATGACATATATACACTATTATCAGATTAAAAGACATATTAAACACTAAGTGACTTTCAAATTAAAAAAGGACACAACATATCATTTTCAAATGGACAACCGTAATTGTTCATATTTGTCTCCATAACATATAAAAATATTAATTTTATAAATATGCAAAAAAGAATACAAATAAAATTGTGTGAATCTTTTTTTAAAAAGTGATGAGTATTTCAATTTCAAATTCAAATTTTAGCATATTAATACATATTCAAGACAAATACTGTGCATCATCATGTGATTTTTAATGTAAAGTTTGAATTCATATTCATAATTAAACTTTCACAAACACTTTGTATACATATATTTAATGGATTTAGAAAGAATTTAAAGGAGATAGTTTGCGACTTTCTTAAAAAAAAAAGTGACGACAAATAAAATATTACATTATCTCCCTTTTTTTAATGTAAAGCACTGATTGAATTCATATTCACATTTAAATTTTCACAAACAACTCATGTGCATATCTTTAATGCATCTGAAAGAATTCAAATGAGATAAGACTTTTGAAAAGAATTTATTTCGCTTTTAATTTTAAATTGTTTTCAAATAACAATCCAATAGTTTAAATTAATTTTATCTAAAGAGTTGATAAACAAAATAAATTACGAGTTCGTATTCGGCAACGAATATCAATTAACTGTGTACAAGTAAATGAAAATTTAAATTGATTTTATTCAAAATGATTGCCTCAATACTTCTATTTGAGTTCCTTGGTGTATTAAGTTTTTTATTTCTTATTTCTACTCATGTTAACGTTTTATATATAGTAATTAAACATCACAAATTCAGTATTATTAATTATAAAATAAGAAATACTTATATCACAAAAAATAAAATAATTGGTGTGTAGTCAGATCTCCATCTACATACAACTCGATCAACTTGTTGCATATGCACGACATTACTCAATTTTATGCTCTTCAACATGTGATCACACAACTTCACGTTAAACGTCTTTAACAATAAATATCCTAGATTATATCAGCCCCAGCTCTTAAACGTCTTTAACAATAAATATCCTAGATTATATTAGCCCCAGCTCATATTAATATTTAAAAGTAAAGTAAAAGATTGGTAAGTAGTCAAATCTTTGTCTACGTACAACTCAACCCTTGTTTGGTCCTCAAAAACATTATAATTTTTTCTCTTATTTTTAACCACAATCTTTAATAAAATAATATTACACATAAACCAAAAAAAATTTCCTTTTTTCTTCAACTACACATTCTCCAAAAAAAAAAAAAAAGAACTTCGAAAAATTATAACACCAAATAATGGAGGCTAAACTATAATTCATTTTTCTCTCTTATTATCAAACACATATTTTTCAATAAAATAATATTACACCTAAAACCAAAAACTTTTCCTTCTTTTTAACCATACATTCTCCAAAAAAATTTACTATTCCTCTCATTATAACATAGAATAATGGGGCCAAATGAGTGCTCAATCAACTTGTCGCTTACGTATGACACTGGTCGATCTTATTCTTTTTAGAGTGCGATAACACAACTTCACGTTAAACATCCTTAACCATAAATATCCTAAATCATATCGATTCCAACTTATTTAATCTCTAAAATAGAAGTAAAAAACAGAATTTTTACTTATCAATCCCAACTTATTTAGTCTATTATTATTCATATTCAGATTCCTCAAATTGCAAATACTTATGAATTCCACTGGGACACTGTCAGTCAAATTGTTATCACTCATATCAAACAATTCCAGCCCATAAGCCCTGCCTAAACTCGTGGGAACTGAACCAGTAAATCAATTCCACCAAGAAACAGAATTTTTAAGTTCTCCATATCCCATAAAAATTTTGGAACCTAACTAGAAAATTGATTACTTTGAGATTATAACACTATTAAAACTTACATTTCTTCAGTCACAGAAAATTCACCTAAGATTGAATTATTCCACACTATGAATTCCTTCAAATTCCCAGGATTCTCCGGCAAATAACTGGAAATAAAGCCTTGTCCATCAATAAAATCCAAAAATCCATTCTACTCAACATCATTATTATCGCCCGTTAGAGAGTTATGCTTTGTGCAGCGGGATTTATGGATAGGCAGTGCAACTGCAGAGGGTGTAGCCGACGATGACGCTGTTGGCAATTGGTGTTACAAGGGTGGAGCTGGCAATAGTTATGAATGGCGATTGAAGAGAGATTTTATAGATAGAGCGGAAGTCTTCATATTGCCTTGAGAAGTTAAAAGGCCCATATACCCATATAATTTTCCACTTTTCCTATTTTGAAAATATTACCAAGGAGGATGGGGGCTTCAGAGCCACATGTTGATGATCATTATTACTAGAGATGAATAGCATTGCACAATGGAATAAATCAAATCTTGTCTAATAACTTCTTTTTTCATTTTTTTTTTTCTTTTTTTTTCCCCCCAAACATAAATATCCATTTTTGGAATGAATTTGGAAAATTCGAAAACTTCTCAGAAATGAGATTTATTTTGGGGGAAAAAATAGTAGTTATTAAACTAAATTTAATTTGATCTTATTCCCTTCTCTTCATTATTAGGTTCAAGATAGGAAATGTTCCTTTTTCTTAATCTGTAACTTTCTCTTTGTAAGTAAGGCACTAGTATTTCAATTACATAGAGTATTGAATTAAATTGTTATTAAAATTTCCTATCCTAAATTTTGTTCTCTTCCTCTTTTATTCTCTATATTATGTTGCTCTTCATACTATCTTGCATCACCTATCTTTCACCATATTGAAGATTTTTAAAGAGATGTCTTTCACCATTGCACTAAAACTTAAATTTTACAATCTTCTTCAATTCAGAAGAGATAGTCTGCAGGTAGCATTAGTAACGCTCACTGAACTGTCCTGCATCAGTCCGGCAATAATTTCTAACCCTGACAAAATAAAATAAATCTACTCAATCTCATATCCCTAAAAAACTAGAATTGCGCTGCAGAGTGTAAACATTTGGATCAGTACACAATGGAGCTGATCTACAGTAGGATGAGATCTTGTGTGTTCTACAAGAACAGAAGTGAATATAAATAGGGAGAAAAAGTCTGAGATCAAAGAAATATAGCCTTAAAAGCAAGACATACATAGGATATTATTAATCAATAGCCAATTATCAATATTAGATATAGAATGACTAGCATAAGAAAGAATGGGCATGAAGAATTACTAAGCTATGTATGAACTTTGACTAATGCAGATAATTCTAAATGCCAAGTGATTAATTAATTCAAAGTGAGAGGCAACAACTACCCGATATTTCCAATGCCATTAACTGATTCCAGAAACTGCAACTGATGCTGCTGCCGCCCGTCCTGCTGTGGCTCAATCTGTTGCAGTGGCTGCACAGAACTACCTTCCAGTGCCACTGCAGCACCAGTTGCTGGAGTGCCCTTCCCCTCAACAAACCGCCACATATACCACGCCCCAACTGACCTGTATGGCCTCCACTTCTCGCACAATTGCTCCATCTGTGAAGGCCTCGGCAAATCCTCCAAACTGTGTAACAATTGTACGCCTTTCCTAACCCCTAAATCACTCACAGGTAACACATCCGGTCTGTGCAGAGAAAATATCATGAACATGTGGACCGACCAAGAACCTATCCCCTTCACCATCGAGAGCATAGTGAACAGCGACTTGTCATCCATTTTCACGACTGTATTATCCGACAAAATCCCAGAGTTATACTTATTTGCAAGGTCATATAAATAGCTGGCCTTGCGCCCAGAAATACCAATTTGCTTGAGCTGTTGTGCAGAGAGGGCAAGAACAGTATCAGGGCGGACAGAGCCTTCACCACCGCAAAGAGAGGTGAAGCGCGTATAAATAGAGGTGCCAGCCTTGTAGGCGAGCTGCTGGTAGAGAATGCTCTTGGCCAGAGCTAAGAAAGGAGGGTGGTGGGACTCGAATTGAGGGGGCGGATGGGTATCAATTATCGGGGCGAGAAAAGGGTCTACAGAACGGAGGTGACGAAGGGCCAATTCAATTTCGCCGTTGGCCGACAAGGGTTTGATAATCTGAGGTAGAGCTCTAGAAGATTGGGAGGCACCCCGCCGCCGGTTCTTGTTGGTAATAGTGGTTGTGGGAGCAGAGGCGGAGGAATCATCCGGTGGAGATGATTTATCAGCGGAGGTGGGAGTGGGAATTGGGGTGGCGACGGAGAGTTTGCGGACTTTCTGGGGTCGAATTGGAATCTTGGAAGGGTTGGAGTGGCCTTGGGAATTTTTCGGAAAATCGCTGTTAGTGTCGGCGGTGGCGGGAAGAGGGTCAGTTGAATGGGTTGGTAGCGGTGAAGATTGTGCATTGGAATCGGGATTGGGCTCAGCTTTCTGGGGCTGAGTCGGAGATGGAGGTTTAGAATCTTGAGATTGGGTTCCTGGTTGTGTCTGGGTCTGCTCACCCATGTGCACAGAAGGCGAAAATGAGATCTACTCGATAGTGGGTGTTTATGGGCGGCGACGGTGGCGATAAGCTCAATAGTGCACTGTAACGGGTGGTGGCAGTGGTGGGCGTCGGAGAGAACTGATAGCACAAGTCTATCTAGTCAATGGATGTTGAGGTTCTTTTTCCATCGTGCTCTTGTGATTCATGGCGTCTAAGCATTGAACTGAAAATGGATATATTTCGGGAAAAATTGCACTAGGGATCTCTAATCTTCTATTTTTTGCAAACATTATCCTAGCCTTTAAAAAATTCGTACTTGGGGTCCAACCATTAGTTGACTAAGAAAAGTGGACTTTGATTAATTTTGATCAATTTAAAATGGATAAAATAGCAACTTTAAAACTACCGCATTGAATAAATAAATCAGAAAAAACAAAAAAATAAACCGACCTCCTTCCCCCACCCACAATATTGTTAGCATTGCTGTTCAAAGGTTGACTGCCACCTTCATGAAGCTACCAAAGCCACCTATCAGGTCTTCTTGTGCCGGCATGAAGGTATTTCGCCAATAAACCAAATTTCAAAGTGAATAAGTCTTATCGGATTTTAACTGAGGCAAAGATTTGGAGGGATTTGTTTGTAGAGACATCAAGCCTTTCTAACTTTGCATTTGAACCTAATTTGCAAGGCAAAGTTCCTATAAATGTATTGTTCTAGAGAAGTAAGTTTACCATGGGAAGTTCACATATACCTTGAGGAATTTCACCTGTCAAATTGTTGCACATCAATGATAGATTGTGATGCTACCAAAAATTGTACATGTAGATTTTCCGAGCTTGATGACTGATGATGAGCACGAACGTGATCTTTCGATACCTGAAACAAAGACAACGAGGTGTGTTCTCGTCGCCCCTCCGATGCTTAAGTCAGAAAGGGAAATATATGCATGAGGCTATATGCTGAAGAATAATAAAAAACGTACCTGAATAATGGCCCAAGGTTCTGCTTTTATAGGAGTAGGTAGTGTACTCCTAGTAGGATTGTGTTGGTTGGATGTTTTTATCCAAGGGAATTTCTATTATAAAGAGTGTCATACTTGTAATGGAATTGTTTGACAAGTGGTGTTAGGGTTGATGTAAAATCCTTGGGTGTTTAGGTTTGTTAGTTAGGTACCCAGGTCTTAGGAGGCATGTTGGTGGTGTATGTCTCGAGGACTATTCTCGAGAACATTTAGGGAAGGTAAACGTGTCCTCGAGGTATCTCGACGACTACGATACCTCGAGGACTTGGGTTACCTCGAGGACCATAGAAGAGAAATGAGGTGGGGGTATGTATTGAGTCCTCGGGGATACACTCCTCGGGTATATCAATATTGGCATAGTCACTGGCCCCCGTGCACTCGTCCTAGAGATCGAGCTCTTAGTATGGGGTGCACATGGGTTATGTCATTTCTCGAGCCTTCGTCGAGAAGTGATGGCTGATGATATAGGTCGAGATATGACCGCTGCAGAGAGTGGCTTGGATTTGTGACACGTGTCTTCGTGGACGGTCGTAGATAGCGACCTTTGGCCTCCCATCGTTTTCACCTATAAATACTATTGTTCTCACCTTCATTTTTCACTTTTACCCACTGTAAATCAGAGTTTTGCGAGGTCGTGCTCGAGAAAAACACTTTTGGGAACTTCTCAAGTCGTCGGGAACTCCAGGTAAGGCTCGAGACTTTAAGTTATTCATAAGCTAGGTCTTAAGTTTGTTAAGTGATGTCGAGTAGTGAGGGTCGAGAATCTTCTAGCAGTTCTAGTAGTAGTGAGGACGTATGGACCTCGATAATACCGACGGCTATTCCCCTAGAGGCTACTCCCGAGGCCTAGGTTAATATGGTTTTTGAGTATCCCGACGAGCCCTGTAGGCTTAAAGAGCACACAGTCATAGCTGCAGCTAGGGAATACGGTATAATGCCCAACTGCGATGTTAGATTCCCAGACCCCGAGGATAGGATTGTTCGAGCACGACGAGGGGAGTTTGTTATTTTCAGGGAGACCCTTAAGGCTGGCTTTAGGTGGCCCCTTCACCCTTTCTTTATTGCTCTATTAGTCGTGCACTCCATGTGCCCGGGGCAGTTAGTGCCCAACGCCTGGAGAATGCTCGTTTATTTTTTTATAGCATGTAGATACTTAGGTATCGAGCCCAACATTAGCCTCAGCAAATTAGTGTTCGAGTTTAAGAAGCATCCTCGATACACTTGTTTTGGTTATCTCTCGACGATTGGGGATTTTAAAGTCCCAAGGATGGCGAGCTCCTTGAAGGGATGGAGGGAGGGGTGGTTTTATGTTATAGCCCAAGAACCCGATCTTCCTTTCTGGCCTGATTGGGGAATCCCCGACGCCGAGAAGTTCTGTGAGGGCCAGGTGTATCCGGATGTTTTGGAAGAGCATAGGAGGATGCTGGTCGGGCTCAGCCCCCTTTT